TTCGTCTCCTATCTTTATATTCGCTCTTTCCCTACTTTTTCTTCCCTTGCATATCAGTATTTTAGTTTTACTTTTATTTATTTTCATACAGTACTGATCTGTCAGTACCGCTTCCATTTTATTTAAAGCTATCTCTAGGTCCTCCTTGCTGGATGCTAATACTGCTATATCATCTGCAAATCTTTCTATCCCTCAGGAACAGTATTTTTGTTCTGTACAAGAGGTGCCCTTTTCTGTGCCCCCAGAAGTTGTATATACAATATTTTATGATAATCGGCAGAGTAGTTAAGGCATGAGATCATAACAAACAAACTCACATTTGCATTTATAATAGGAATTAGGATTAACTCGGAATCTAAATGTTGAATATTTTCCATTGAGCCCCTTTAAAGACATTAAAGATGCTCGAAGTTGGATTAGATTTATATTTCTGTATAAAATTATTTGTTTATATAAATCGTTATAATGAGCCATTTTCCTCAAAACTAGAATCCAAGTTGAATCTATAATAAATATTGCACGCTACATAAATTTAGGCTCATCCAACTAGTTTACATACCTATACGAGGTCTATTCAAAAAGTATCGCGAATTTTGAATTTCCGCGGCTTACGTATATTCGATTTTGGATTTTTGTGGTGTTATGTTGGTTCTCATGTCTCTCACTTATACCGACAAGTTCAGCCATGTGGAATGTTCAGTTAAATTTTGACAGCTGCTTTGCTTGCACGTGTTTTGGCTCGTCTTCGATTTTTGCTTATTCCAAAAAATGGATCAAAAATTTTGTATCAAATTTTGTATGAATAACAAAAAGTTCACGGACGCATTCCGAATGTTGACTGTGGCATATGGACCGAAGCAACGTTTATCGGTGGTACAAAATATTCTTAGAGGGCCGAGAATATGTGAACGACGAAGAGTGTGCCGGACGCCCGAACACGTCAACAACAGACGAAAACATTGATGAAGTGAAGAAAATATTATCGGCCAATCGTTGAATCACCGTTAGAGAAGTTGCTGACGACCTAAACATATCGATTGACTCCTTGCCATTCGATTTTTACCAATGATTTGAGCATAAGACTGGTCGCCGCGAAATTTGTACCAAAATTGCTCAATTTCGATCAAAAACAGCATAGTATTAACATTGCTAAGGAGCTAACTGTCCACGACTAACCAAATTTGCACCAAAGGGTCATAACTGGTGAGGAATCGTTGATTTATGGTTATGACGTTGAAACCAAAGCTTATTCATCCCAATGGAAGCTGCCGCACGAGCCAAAACCGAGATAAGCACGCCAAGTTAGGTCGAATGTGAAGGTTTTCCTTACAGTTTTCTTGGATTGCAGGGGTGTGGTGCATCATGAGTTTTTCCTACAGGATAGAACGGTCAATATGGAATATTACCTGCAAGTTGCGCAAAGCATTTCACTAGAAACGCCCGGATTTTTGGAAGAACAAGAATTGACTTTTGCACCATGATAATGCCCCTACTCGAACATCGTTGCTCTTGCGCGTAATTTTTGGCCAAAAACAACACGCTAATAATGTCGCAGCCACCGTATTTCCCAGATCTGCCCCCCCCCTGTTCCCGAAATTTGAGAGGCCTATGAAGGGACGACGGTACGCTACGATTGAGGAGATAAAGACGGCATCAAAGGAGGAGCTGAACAAGATCACAGAAAATAACTTTTTGAAGTGCTTTGACGATTGGAAAAAAAAATTGTTGCGAGTGTATAATATCTGGAGGAGATTACTTTGAAAGGGAAAAAATAGATATTCATGAATAAATAATATTTGAAAAACATAAATTTGCGATACGTTTTGAACAGACCTCGTATGTACCTATATCTTTTATTCGGTAGATCATTGGAACGTTTACAAAAAATTTATAGATACATACCTATACCTGTATTATATTAAGATGTCACGCTTAAAGAATTGTTTTAATCCGAGCCAAAAAATCTTATTTAAAGTGCTTTGAGCCTTGATGTTTCATTACATATTAAACCAAGAACTTCGAACAGTAATTTTTTTCAAAGCCTTAAAAGCTTTGATGAAGTAATTCGTTTACTAAGTCCTAACGACTTATTTATAAAAGGCTTGCAATACAGTAGGGGAGACCGGGGATGGTTGACTAGTTTTTTACTGAATAGTTCATATTTTTTGTGTTTTAATGTATATAGACAAGAAAAGCATGTTAATTGATATAAAATCTATTAACCTAATAAAAATATGTAATATTTAGTTCTTAGTTTAGTATAATAGTGATGATTTAATGCATTTTACAAAATATTAAATCTTAGTCAATCTACCCCTGGCCCGGGGTAGGTAGACCATATGCCCGGGGTAAGTTGACTCATGTACCAGTAAGAGTCAAATCATGAGAAGGAGCAAATAATTAAACATTTT